TGTACTCTTGATAATCATATTCTACTCATTTAAATGCAGAAATGTATACACAAACAAAGCCATACACTTTTTAAAATGTACATAAATTTGTCTATCTCATTATAATCAGTAATATTTGTCAGCTGCATTTTTGTCACAGTGTTTTTCCATACCCTTTTAATTATGAAATAACAAAACCTTGAGCTATTTTTTTAGAAACACTAGCTGCTCGAAAAATTGCGAAAATATCATAGGGAAAGTCAGAATTAAAATAGAATTTCGAACGTTAGCAGTTAGCAAAATTCTTAATCACACCGAAATAGAGTGATGTTGTTTCTACGCTTATAAAATGTATACAGATATGATATATCCAACACAGCAACATTTTACTAGATGACAAATATAATATCAATATAAATCGGGACGCCAACATACAACCTGTTTCTTTATAATCGGACCATTGTAATGAATTCTACCGACAAAACTACAATACCGACAAATCCAACACTCACACTCAATTGCGATACCAACTTATTGTAGTCAGGATGAAGGGTCCCAAAGGCGGTAACCGACAAAGTTGCAAGTGAATGTATAATGCAATATAGACAATTACACACTCTTGGGTCAGTGCCGGGAACAATATCGGCGCGAGAGAGAGGGAATAGTGTGCGAGAGAGAGCGCAACTACACTACAGCTAGCCCGGTGGAAGATGGGCCTCAGTCTTGTATATCGCATTCCAGTAATTGATAGCCATTTAACGATGTTTGTACAAATGGTTTACAAGAGTACAAGTACAATTTCGGTGTTTGCGTATTTTAACACTTGCACCCGTGACGGTGTATGGCGTACACGTGATAATCTATTATTAATTACACGTGTTATTAATTTAGAGTTGTAAGATAAGTCGATAAACTAATTTGTTTGCCTAAGTAGATAATTTTTAAAGCTTTTAGAGTGTTGAACATGTTATTTAAATTAGACTAAGTAATTGCTAATAATGTGTTAATTAAATTGTCCTAAAGTGTAATTAAGAGATGTGGTTTATCAAAATTGCACAGATTTAGCAAATGGTTCAAGATGAATTGTAGGAGTAAATTGGTTCAATAATGAAACCCTTTCTTTATTTTTTATTCAAATTCAAACTACTGTAAATGATAAAAAAATGTGTTTCAAAATATTATTAAAACGTTAACCCAGTAAACATTGTAAGCCTCTTTTAATTATTAACTAGCCACAACCAGTGGTTTGTACTCATTGACACAACTAACAAAATAAAAAGGTTGCTCAATTATGCATAAACGTAGTGACAACAGCTACAGTATTCAGAAGGCAGAGATCGTGCGATGCGCGACGACGTGATCGTGAAGGCAGTGGAACGGAGCGCTCGGCCACCTTGATACAACAGGAACTAACGCACGGCCTTGTCCGAAATCGAATACCACCGCCAGCATTCCTACCTTCCCGTGGGGACAGCTCACGCTCACAGCTGGCCGAACCCCGGGCCACTTCATTCATACCGAAAACTGTCATCCGGTTGTAATCGATTTAGACTTTCATCACGTGAAATGAATCGATTTGGTCAAATTGATGTGGGAAATGAACGTTTAGTTATTACCTGATTAGCCGTGAGGTGATTATGTGGCAATAATTCAAAGAACGAAGATTTCAAATAGAGCAAAAATAATTTTGTAAAAATGAATCAGTGAGCATCCAAAATCAAACACGCATAACCATTTATTCTAGTTACACATCGAACCCGATTGCGAAATTAAAATCCACGCCCCAATATTAATTCACAGGAAACGAGAAGGAAAACGAAACTTTACACTGATCACAGATATGAATTATAAATCCAATTCAACACCTACTAAAGGTTCGATTTACGTTAAACGGATTGCAGTTAATCACTCAGACGATAAGGGCAATCAGCTTGTGAAACGGATGTAATTGAAGAGAGTGAGGGGGGGGGGGGCGGGGGGATCTACCCTGTAGGGAGGCACAAGGGTGACTGAAGGGGCTTCACAATCAATACAACCCTTACTTTGGTCAATCCGGCCATAAATAGAGGGATCATCGCTTCCTTCCTGAGACCACACTGTAAACAGCTGTTGTACTGATCAGCTGGTTGTTTGCGGATTTTAAATCAGCTGGTTGTTAGTGTTTAAACTGTTTTAGAACTGTTATTGTTAGGTTGGTTAATTCCTTGAATACAATCCAGTATTAAAAGATGATGTGTTAAAAGATGTTGAGAGTTATTTAAGTTTGTGTACATTTAATTGTTGAATTATTATTCCTAGGTGACCAGAGCTGGGAAATTATCGTAATACTGTATCTTTATTAGTTGTTTAGTAACGAGGTAAATGGATTGCTTATGGTTTGTAGATTTTTAAATATATTTTAAATGAGTAGAATATCATACGTACACTAAAGCATTCAAGAAAGATAAAATTGTTTATTGTAGCTTAAATAGTTATGTATGTAAATGGTTTTATACGTTTCAAACTATTCTGTTTCTAGAGTATGTTAATCAAAATGTTGAACAAATTAATAGGCCTACTTATTTGTAAACGTTACCGAGCGAATGAAAATTTTATTTCTGACTAAAGCAGTATACAGTTTATCATCGGTAAGTTTATCTCATATTTGAAAAAATATTATTTTTTATTACTCCTTAATTGCCAAGAGGGGAATGTAAGGATTACAATCACAACCTGTTTGCGAACATCGATCATATTTTAGCGGCTACAAAACAAAGCGGAAAGTATTCAACAACTGTTCATTTGTATTTATTTAGTGAAACGTGTACATACTGAATGGCCATGACCATCATAGGACAATAGGAAACGAAGAAACGTGATAAGGTGGCGACGACAGCCATGACAGGTGATAGCTTATCAGTTGCCACCTGGTCACGTGACAGTGATAAGACGCACGCCTTATCCAGACCACAACCAGTCTTATCAGTTTATTTATACACAACTGAACCTACAATATTTGTTATAATTTTGACTATAGATTCTTCCATTCGATTTTCTACTATCCTTTCAGATCAAAAATAAAATTTGCTAATGAATTCGGCCAAGGTAAAGAGAATTAACCTGAGGAATAATTTTATAACCGTCGCTTGGGAAACAACTAAAAATAATTATGAATATAACAGTAGAGTGTAATGTGATTATTATGCTTCGATTTTAAATGCACATAATGCTATCCAGTTATTTGTGAAATTATGGTAACTAAACAATAAAAGGTTTTGTTAACCTACCCAGATATCTTTAAAAAATAGATTGTGAAGCCTTTTAGGACCGTAAAAAACAATACTGTGTCAATGGTAATTACTTGTTAACGGTTTTAATAGATTTCAATGCTCTTCCGTTTGATATGTAGGTAGAATTTAAAATCACTCATAGATACAACAAAATAATTACAAAAACAACAATTGAATACCACATTTATTGCGAAAAACGCGTATCCCTGGACATTTAATTCCGTTATGGAAGTAATTTATTTAAATACTTGAAAGCACCACAGATACCATGGGGGAAATCTTCACTTAACAATAATCAAAAGTCTTATCACTTAACATGATTTTAATAATTATTACTCACTTCTTTTACAAAAGATATTCACCAACCAATCGAGCAAATCACAATCGATGGAAACCACTTAAAACCAAACTCACGACTGTTCGCAGCTACAACAAAGAAGATATTAAGCAATTCGTCCACGAGCCCGTCAGCTGTAGATACAGCCACAGCTGATTAGATAACATCTGATGACGCTACAACAGCTGATCCGAACGGACCGGCGCGAAGCTGTAAACATTTATCGCAGTCACGGAAAGCACTATTACCCAGTTAATGGCGCAGTGTAATATACTGTTACATGTGTACTGATTTGCTACACTTAGCGTACAACTTGTGTTTTGTACTATACATTTTCGGATCGTTAAATAAAAATATGTTTGTTGTTATTATTATTTGTTTTCGGTTAGATAAAGTTGTCTAACTCGCCTTCCAACATACAAAATTTAATTTCTATATTAAATATAGAACATTGATAAAAAATTGATAAAATTAATACATCAGTAAAATGAAATACGTAATGTTCCAATATGACAATGAGCTAGAATCCTGAATCAAAAGTGATTGTTGCAATGCACTCATCATTTATTTTTACTACATCTAAAAAATGAGTCAACTGCGATTGGTCATTGATTCAACATCATTTATCTGCAAGTTTGTCAGAATAAATGTTGTAACTATATTTTATGACTAATAATACTAGTCAGCTAATTTTCAGGATTCAGTATTGTTAACGATACAAAGATCGGGTAAAAGTTTAAGCTCAAGTAATGTTAGGCGTGACGGCGTGACAAATAATGATAACGTAAATGCTTTACTTATTTGGAGTGCGACTGCGGCTTAATGCTTATCATTTCGAGAGGCGTAGATGACGTGGGCAGGAAAACAATTGTTTCAACATCTTGATTGCTTCATGAGTCGCAACGTGCAAGTACAAGTATTGTACTAGGAGAAAACATCACGGGTTTTTATCGACATGATTCTGGGAGAAAATATATTTTATATACGATCCAGTACTAAGACAAATTATGTGTGTAGCCAACAAGATTACAGTGACGATGTTTGCTTATGATGTCATAATTTGACAATAGAAACAGCTGATGTAATTCTACAACCAATAAATGTTTTGATTCTCTAATTTTACACGATCAAGTATCTGAATGGAAAGGAATGTTGATGCCCAAATAAAAAACAATTAAAATCTCGACCTAAAAAGGTCTCAAATGTATCCATGAAATCGTCATATAAAACTAAATGTGTTGTGGGAAAAATCTGAAAATCCTATACAAAAAAATGCCGAAGCTAAATTCCATTAAAAATCGCTACTGTGTCACAAATAACATACAACTTTAAGCTTACACTATTCGAAAGATTGCATTTTAATAAATTTGTCCCGATAAAACCATCAAATGGCGTACCAAAATCGTCCGCAATACCTCTATGCAAGCTTGGTTGGTGGTTGGCAAGTTCATGGTGGAGGTTGTCGTTGACGCAACGTCGTATTGGTGTCGTGGCCTACATGCTCGCGCTGTTTCACAAGTCGAGTTATCCATGCTCTCTCTCTCTCTCTCCCTCCCCCACCTTTCGGACTTTCCCCTTCTATTGTCACTGTGTCTAATTGTTACAACTCATCACGAGTGAGAGCTTCATTATAACAGCGGAGATTGGATAATTTTCTTCTAGGTTAGGATAATAAATAATAAAAATTCCATATTTTTTAGCTTCATCTACGCCAATGGAACCTTGTACGTTATTTTGTAAAACATTTAATCCCTAGCCATCTTTAGTTAGAAAACCTAATATTAATCTAGAATCGATCTTGTTTGAAATCGAACCAGCGACCTTCACATCAGAAGGCGAGCTTTATTACCACTGGCTACCAAGACAATAGAGAAATTCGAGTAACCAATTCGATAACATTCAAAACTCAATTAGTTCATGAGACATGAGAGAGATTTTCAAAGATAATAAAAATTCACCCCAATCAGTCTGCAATCAATCAAGCTTGATGAAAGCTCAATTCGTTCGTTGATATCGGATAATGCACTTCAGATAACCTACTGGTCTAAAAAATTGTTTCCGATTTTTTCAATCTTTTTCGTATTTTTAAGAGTATAATCCCTTTCAGTAATTGTGGTAGAACATGGCAGGTATTTTTTAAACGTTTACACGACTTATACATACATTACTATGGTTGCAAAATTCTACAACAATGAAAACCTAATCGACACCAGACCTACTCTCATCTCAAACAGTGAGTATTTGGCGAAACGCCACGCGTCGCTCGACAATTTGACTTTATAATGCCGCTGTACAGCCATAACGAGCGTTGGGGGACTTTAAACAAGTTTGTCATCCAACTGATCATCTCAAACACTGCTTCATTGAGCTGAGAAGTTCTGGGATTATAATGATTATGATAGCGGGTAAATTGTTTATCACTTTCTGTTCCATCAAATCTATTTGATTATACAAGTAAGAAACAATTTTTCAGACGTATTACATGATACAGTATTGACAATGGGGTTAAGCTGACTAAAACACTTAGTTTCCTCTCCCTTAACTCCATATCTTTTGGTAGTCAAACTGGAATTAAAACAGTTGCAGATGATAAATCGCACAACGGTTTACCATGCTAGCTGGAAGACAAGGCGGTTTTTGGTCCTTCGAACCGGACTCTACGTAATTCTGCAAATGATGTTACACTAAGCACCTATAAGTGTAGTAATCTGGATATTTCTTTTAATGTATTCAAATGCTCACTTAGACACTTAAAACAAGCAAACCAATTTTTGGTCCTTCGAGTCGAATTCCAGTTCTATAATCTATCACGACTCACTCAATCTATAGTCTGATTAAAACTGGAAAGCGACCAGGGCAGTGGTGTTTAGAACCACACCACTTTCATAGAACCAATTTCCAGTTCTATTCAAGCCATAGTTGTGCATTTTGGCCGGCTAGACACAATGGGAATGCGAGAATACCTGAAACGGGAATCAGCTGTTGTCGGCGGCACCTAGCAACATGGCGGCCTTGTCGCAACCCAGATACCAGTGAAAGTCCCTGACGTCAGGACGACTTTCAAACCCGAGGAATGTTGCATCTTCCCGTCACCGAAGATTGACGATACCCGTAAAGAAGGAAAAAAAACTCACTGGGAAAAATGATAGCCTATCTTGCTGGAAACAGGTGGAATTGGCGGGAACGGGGAAGGTTTAGACCTAGGACGGTTAGGCCTAGTTGTTCTGAAGTGGTAATCAAAGGTCCTTCCTTTCCCTAAGCAAGGGAGATTTCAGTTCGAACATTATTTAAATATTTAAAATATAAAGACATGTAGTGGGCGGAGAGAAGAATTATTCTAGTAGAATCGAATACGTGGAGGTATTCAAATTGAGGTTAAGTCACAAAATGTGTTTTAGGAAATTATCGGTTGATTATACATCGAAAAATTCTAGGATAAATGGATGATTCTTATAAATAAACTCAAGAGAGATTTCTCTTCTACTTGTGACGTTATGCATAACCCAATTTCAATGAATTAACGGTCAACACCAAACAACAATCATTAAAACGTTTACTCCGTCAGAACAGAACTGCATCATGTTTGCCAAATCATCGAACGTAACAAGGCTCTGTTCTTGGACCGATCGTAATGGCACGACTTCCTTGGAGCGAAGGCCGAGTTGCAAAAACCACAACCTTTGCCTTGGATTTGAGGGGAACGAGCAGGGAATGGCGAGGCATTTAAACCGACTGGTGCATTTGGGAAATTTTGCATAGCTACAAGTGAGATGTTATATTCCAAGGAATGTTCTTCGAGCATGACAGTTGTGCGATACAGGCTCTGTTCGTTGATCAGGATTTTGATCCACTGAGATGAATTTTTAACAGTTTTTGGACTCTCTTCTGACACGAGAACAATTAACAATCGAACAAAATTTGGTACTGTATGTTGACATACTAGAGTCAGGCCGAAGAAGTAATTGTGTAGTAATCCTTCTAGATGTACAATATCTTAGAATTGAACGTCGTTTTTCAATTTAAAACCAGAAATTTAGAACCCTGAAGTAGATAAGACGAGTAGACGATTAAATCAGGCCATTTCATAACCGCCAAATATAGGACACTATCCAAACTCAGATTAATCTGGACTAGAATTTCTTCAGGCTATAATGAGCAAGAGGCTACAAGAGGCTTATCAATTATGTTAATGCCTGCACAGGTACTTATTTGCCAAACGACCCGAAGAAGAATCAAAGGAAGTGCCGCATTGTAGCTTGCCCGAGCAATTGAGCAGAAAGAGAGAAAGAGCAGAGTGATGTAAGCAGGAATCTAGGTCGGCTGAGCTTTCACCAACAAGTGAGCAAGACAGCAGGCTACTTCACACTAGGGTCTGGACCGTTCACCAACAAATGTAAAAAAACTCAAAAGTCATACACGCATTACGAAATGTGAGCTAGCTGGATAGCTTGGACAACCCGGCACTTTCGAACGTCAAGATTATCTTGGTCCAAGGTTGCTACAATTGAAAGCAAGGTCGTATGAAGTAACTCTAGGACGAATTGTAACCAGGTGTAGATGGAGGTGTTGGATGAATGTAAGGAATGTTTGCAGGACAAAATTGACCTTGGACCTGGACGATTATTCTGTATAAACATTTTCGAAAGATGTCACTGGCACTTTTGAAGCCGCATGTGTCCGCGGAAGAGAGGTAACAAATTTGGTCTTAGATGAAGAATTTCATTGGTAAAAATGTTGTTCAATCACACAAGAATTTGGCAGTGAAACACTAAGTTGACTGCAGTTTAAAGGGCTCCCCAAAGAAATTAATTAGACGAAGCTTGATGCGTGACAAAAGTGCGGACAATTATGCAAACGACGAAGCCTCAAGCGATAAATTTAAAGCCTATAAAATATTAACGTTAGTGCGGGGTTGCATGTGTTTGGAGCATCGATTCCTTCCTCTACACCCTTCAGTCTGTCACACCCTCCCCCTGGCAGGGGCAGATGCCCTTTGTGGGGGTCACTGCCACCTAGACTTCCATCTTTAAAGGGGTAAACAAGGATGGCTTGCGGCTGTTCGATTTTCAACCGATTTCACTACCAGGTTTTGGATTAGAGTCGCGCCCGGCCTTATATAAGCACATATTGTATGTACATGATCAATGAGTATGGATCAACTTGGAACAATCAAGAAGAATGTTGCATAGTTATAATTGAACTATATGATGCAGTTCGAAAAATAATTTAATACTTGTAAATAGATGGTAAGCTGATTTGTGTGTATGTTTTATAATTCCAGCCTAAGATGCGTTGTACTTTTTTCTGACCTGTCTAATGCGATTGTTTTCCTTTTTTGTAGCTGAATAAACAAATTTGAATAACACGAACAGTATGTAGGCCTACAAGAGTACAACTGTTAAATCGCTTTAAGAGATACTAAACTCTTAATATTTACGACCCCTTAATATTTAAGTATACTACAGAATAATGATGCCCCTATTGAATGTTATACTGTATAATAAAAACTACATGAACAAATCGAAAAAAATATTATATTATTTCTCAGATACAGAAGAGTCCATGACGTAATTTTGGATTGAAAACAAACCTCGCACGACTGTCAACCCAGATAAATTCCGAGGGCACACCAGCAGGAGTCATTGGTAAACAGGCATATGAATACCAAATGAAGATCGGCAGGTCACCAGCACCGGTGGATCGATTATCATACGGCAACAGCTGACAATAATCTCCATTACAGGGCTGCCAATATCAAACTCGCGGAAACATAATCCCCGGACCGATTGTGTTTGTCCCATCACAGTTTGATTACGTGCAATTGCGATTCCATAATGACCAACATGCACGTTGAATTATTTTGAAGCTTCGGCATTTCGTGTGTTTGTATGCAGCTTGTGTTTATTAAATGCAGTTGTCACTCAAATAAGGGTTTTGGTATGTTTACGAGCACGGCAATGTGTCAAATTATTTTGAATCCAATTATGCACATATAAATGCATATATTTATCCTCGATACCAATTAAAGAATGCCAATCTTATAAACATCTCCTTCTTCTTCTGTTCTGTTTAGCTTAGGAACAGGCTGACGTAAAATATTAATACGTTTTCGGCCAATGTCCAATCACCATAATGTTGTAAAGACAAGCATACACAGAAAAGCTCAGGATTTCGATATACGCTTATAATAAATTCCCAACAACTAAAAGGTAGTGTCAGCACTGGAAAAGGGTTTCGATCTCACGACAATCAACAGTTATCTTGGGCAAACGTGTGATGAGATCAACTATTTAGATCTTTATTACAACAGCAGCGTCCGAATATATCGCAACGTTCACAAGACGTCTAATGCAATTATTATCGTCTCAGCTAAGTGAGAGCGCGCCTTCTATAGTCGATCAGTGCTCACCATTTGGCCGCACGCGCCGCCAGCCGGATACCATTACCATACAAGGCGGAGAAGCTATTCCAATACAAACTAACCTA